GAGTTGTCGACCGATGGGACATTTTAGGTAAATTATTTTAAGTTTTCTTGTATAAAAAATTTAATTAATTTACCTAATCTGTGCGACCTGGAGCCGTCGTGGTTTGCTACGCAAAAAAATATAGAAAAATAAGAAAAATTCAAACAAAAATTTTAACTAATTTACCTAACCTGTGCGGCCTGGAGCCCTCGAGGGTGGTTTCGCAAAAAAAATTATACAAAAGGGGAAAAATAAAAAAAACCTTACCAATTTACCTAACCTGTATGGCCTGGAGCAATTTAACTGATTGCTCCGACACAGGTTAGGTAAGCTAGTTAAGTTTTAGGTAAGTTAGTTAAGTTTTTAAAAACCTAACTAATTTACCTAAGCTCTGTCAGAGCAATCAGTTAAATTGCTCCAGGCCGCACAAGTTAGGTAAATTAGTTAGGTTTTCTTTATTTCTATTTATTTTTATAAAACTTAACTAACTTACCTAACCTGTCTCAGAGCAATCAGTTACATTTCTCCAATCTGAAAACGTCACGGTTTGCCTCCCAAATAAAATTATAAAAATAAAAAAAAAATTTTTCTCAACCTGTGCTATTCAAATTTAACTGATTGCTCTCGCACAAGTTAGGTTAGTTAGGTACGTTACTTAAGTTTATTTTATTTTTCACTTCTTGTTTTTGCGAAGCAACTAGCGATGATTTTAGGCTACACAGATTAGGTAAATTAGTTAAAATTTTTGTTTTTATTTTTCTTATTATTCTATAATTTTATGAATATTTGGTTTTTCGATCAATTGCTTTTTCTATCAAATCTATTTTCGATCAATTTTCTTTTCGATTATTATTCTTTTCGATCATTTTTCTTTTCGATCAATTGTTATTCGATAAAATGTTTTTCGATCAAATGCATTCGATCAAATGTTTTGCTGTTTTAGGACCATTAGTAGCCACTCCACTAAAAGTGTGTGCCTTTTTTCTTCACCTTCAACTAGTAATGAAGGATTTGAAGTTACTCCTTCTAAACGTAAGTAATTCATGTTGAACGTTTCACTTCTTAGCTTATGCATTTTAGTACTTTGCAAAATGTAACATCTTAATGCTTGTATGTTATAGGTAAAAATAAGACTGGAAACGAAGAACAAATTGCAAGTTCCATATTACAGGCTATGGAAAAAGTTTGTGCAACTGAGAGTACCAACATACAACTGAACCCAATATGCCAGAGAATATCGGAATTGTTAGAAAAAATTCCAGCGAGGGAAAAAACTGAACTAGAAATTAAACTTCTGACAATAACATATGATGCTGCAAAGCAATATATATAATATGTTTTGAGAATAAAAAATAAGTTTATAATTAGTGCATTTTATTACAAAACAAAATTTTCACTCTATAACACTTTAAATAATGAAAATATTTTGTTTAACAGGTTTATAATGTTTTAAAATTTTAAAAACTCCTAAAAAAAATGTAGCTATGTTATTTTACTTATCCCACTGAAATGGTACAGTTCCCTCAGTATAAAAATATAAAGCTAAATTTTCTCTTTTTTCTTCAACGTACTGTTTGCAAATATTGGTACTTACACGATTACTAGGAAGTACGTTTGTGCTTTCATTTTGTCTCCATTCTCCATTATGAATATTTCCATCCTTATCTTCCCAGTCTACAAAAGTTCGTGTACAATATTTGTTACATTTTGCATCAATTAAATAATTATGTAATGCTACAACTGCTTGTACCACACTCTCAGTAGTGCTTAATGAAGCAATAATTGGCTTCCTTAATATTCTCCATCGTGCAGGTAATATACCAAATGCATTTTCACTTACTCTTCGTCCTCTACTGAGCCTAAAACGTATAAATTTCAGTACAAATAAAATGTAATGAGGTCTATTAATACCTATAATTAAATATTCGTTGGTACCGTGGTAAGTATCTTCCTGCATAGGGTCTCATTTTATTTGGTGTTAGGGGAAATGCTGCATCGCCTACCACATAGTATTGAGTAGCACTTCCTCCTGATTCTATGACTTTAGGTGGTGGCAAATTCAGTTCATTATTGATGTTATTAAATAACTGTCTACCAATTTCCCAATTCCTAAATACACCACCATCACTTTGACGGCCTTGAGCTCCAATATTTACAGTGATAAACTTATATTTAGAATCAATCAATGCCATTAAAATGATGCTATGGGAGTTTTTATAGTTATAAAACTGAGAACCTGATTTGGCAGGAGCCTAAAATTATGAAACAAAAATTACAATAAGTTTAATAAATGTACCTTAGAAATAATATACCTGAAAAATAATGTGTATACCATCGACAGCACCTATGCATAAGGGAAGTTGCCACAAATCTTCAAACTCGCTAGCAATTTTTGTCCAGTACGGCTGATTTAATTCAGAAAATGATCTGTTTTTTAGGTTTTTCCAAATAGCTTGAGATGTTTCTCTTATAATGTGAGAAACTGTGGTCTTTCCCAATCTAAATGCATATGATATTGATACCATGCTATCCCCTGACGCAAGGTACCTGTAAAGAAAAATATACAATTTAATAACTACACGGAAAAAAAATTGTAGAACAAATTTCTACAATTGTAGATTTTTTCTCTACAATAAATAGTACATATAGGGACAGAGACAATTTGTAGTAAAAATTTCCAAATATTTGTGGAGAATGTATTGTAGAGTTATTATCTACAATATTTAGTAAAAAGATCCAAATGCATCATAAGAATTGTTCTACAAATTGTTATAATTTTTGCTATTCATTGTATGAATTTATATTAAAAATGTATTGCGTTTTATGAAAATAAATACGAAAATTTTACACAATAAATAGTAAAAATTCATACAAATTGTAGTAATTTTTAATAAAATTTGTAGTAGTATTCCATAATTATTATAATTGTAACCTAGAAAAAAAATGTTCCTTAATAAAATATTCAATTTATTGTTTTAATATAAAAGATAAAAATTCTTAATTACATTATGTAATAAATAACAGTAATAATAGCGCCCTCAGTCTCAGTTGGCTTTTCTGCACCTGAAAAATATGAAATATAAAAATTAATACCAATTGAATTGTTCATACCCTTAAAACGGGGATATTTATCACCTTTACACTGATTTGGATATTAAATGACCAGATAACTAACAAAAATGAGAAAGTAGGTATGTCACAATTAAGACAAAAAACATCATTGAACTTGACACAAAATTCGATCGTTGGGCACAACATTCGATCGTTGGCCACAACTATTTTTTTAAAATAATCTACTAAGGTTATTTAAATTAGTTATCTAAAGGTAAATTATTCAAAAACAATAATAAATATACTTACCACCAATAGAATTTATTATTAAAATTTTCTCGAACGCATCGGTGCTTATAATATAATAATGTGTTATAGGTACTCGTATATGTACCATGCTTTGTTATGTGAACATGGCGAACGGCTACTGCTGTCTGGCCGTTTATGATCGACGTCAGAAAACGTTGGCCAATAGCAGAATTCTGTTTTGTTCACATGACTTAGAATTTCTACAATATTATAGAATATTTTTGAAGAAGGGATGTAAAGTATTACTATTTCTTGTGGAGAAAATTACTATTTTTTGTAGAGATAACTATTAATATTTGTACAAATTTTTACAGAAGTTAGTAGTAGTAATTACGATAATTGTAATAAATTTCTACTTCTACAAACAATAGTAAAATATACTAAACATTGTAGACTTCTTTCCTATTGTTGTAGCATTTTATTCGACAATTCAATTGCTACAATAATTAATAGTTTTTAACTATAAATTGTAGTAAAATTTTCTACAAATTGTTAAGTATTTTTCTACAAGTCTACTACTACAACATTGTAGTAAAATTTTCTAGTCACATTTTTTTCTGTGTACCTATTTAAAAAATTGTTTAATATATTTACTTTAACGTGCATGCAAGTCTTTGGGCTGAATTTATAGGCTCTCTGCTTATATTCAACCTATTTATATCTGGACCAACAAGGGACAGTAATTGTTCAAACTGAATGGGTGACATTCTTAAATAGTTAAAATATTTTTCGGTGTCAGTCAATCGCATTTCTTCTAAGAGATTATGGAATGATCCTTGACCTCTTCTGTTTAAAAATATGTTTCTTACCCACCATCGTTTAGGTTGTCGTTTTCTTTTTATTATTTTGGAAAATACATAAAGTAATCCCATTAAACAAACTTTACGAACTTTTGGTTTCATTTTTGGTCTGTGGCTCAATCTCACAAGGGGCTCGATACGGAGGATTGTTCTGTCCGTAGCCCCTTCTCAATCTCAGATTTTCTGAGGGCTCAATGTATTTTATAATTTGTTTTAACATAAAAACAATAAACAATTTTTGACATGATATTCTGTCGTTTATCAAAAATCAAATAGGTATCTTGTAAAATAAAAATGTTACTAGAATTCCCTAAATACGCTCCTCGTTCATGAAAACGTATGTTTGGCACGATGATCAATTCTTACGCGGAATTTTATTCCGCCGTCCGCAATCCGCTGTGATAAAAACTAACCTTAAGGGTCTAAATCTTGGTTTGTAAATTTGTTATCAATATCGTATACCTGATTTGATTCTGTAGTCATAATCTGTTCTTGGGGCGACCCAAGTGGGTCGCCCGTTTGTGAAATCATAAAAAATTGACTTACCGGTGGTTTTCACTACAGTAGTACACTATCAGAAAAAAAAATATATATGTAAATTAAAAATTAATTGAAAACCGTGAGATGATAACAGGACCCCACTAAACACGAACGAGCTACACAAAATAGGATAATAAATAAACTATAAAAGCAAAATTAATAAATTCAAACCTGTTCAAATGCCAAAATTTGTTAAATTTATAATAATAATATCTAATCGATTTGAATTAAGAATCATTGTTTCACGTAGATGTAACCACTCATTATTAATTAATAATTGTAATAAATAATTTAACTCTTTGCAGTTAGGTTCTGTTTTATTTAAAAACAACTTTTATTAGAACATTCTTTATTTATCGAGGTGGGTAACTCTTGATACGTATTAACAATTTTTGTGAAATAACCAGTAGAATATTTTTTGTATCCAGGGTTTAATTTTAAATAGAAAATAAAGTTGTTTAAAGTTACAAATTTGTTTTTCTTCTCATCATCGGACTTCTGTTTCTCAAACTCATCTTTTACTTTTTTCTGAATCGTTTCTTCTCTACGTCTCATTAATTGGTTTCTTATTTTTTTAAATTGTTCGTACATTTGTTTTCTGATATATTGTAATTCGAAAGCCGCACCTCTTTTTTTGAAAGCATCATCGGAATATTCGGGTTTTTGCACGCTGGTAAAGCGGACAGTCTGTAATGCACTTCGTGTGATTGTTTGGTAAATTTGGCACATTTCTAATTTATTAAATTTAATAATACATAAATTTTTAATAAAAAAGTTGTTTGTTAAATATGATGGAATATTGAATGTTTATAAATTTCGTTTTGTCATGTTTGACTTATTCTTCTTTTAAATTATTAATGTTTGTTCTATGCTGCTGCGGCAATCTGGCAGTCAAGAAGACATTGACTAATATATTAATCTGTCAAATAAATTACAATTTGTATACATAAATTTCGGTTAGATAAATTACGAGTTAATGAGCAAGATATTACATCAGTATGTAGTGCGTAGCAAGGCGTTTCATAACGCCCCATTTTCGAGAATTTATCCATCAGAATTCACCGGCGATGCGTTTAAGAAAAAAGGACGAGCTAATGAAGAGGGATATTTCAGAAAACAGTACTCGGATCTAATAAAAAATTTAAAGAAACGAATAACCAGAATTAGAGACGGTGGCCCTAAAGTCGTACCGTCTAAAGAAAAACCCAAAACTTCCAAAACTGTTAATAAAGTACCAAAGAAGAAAGCATGTTCATTTATATATACGCATGATGTTATCTGGAACTGGGTGGTTTGAGCCCTAATCAATAAATTCTAAACTTCTTGGTATTAAGTGGTTTCAATTCAATTATAGAAATTTTATTTACGAAAGAAACCAATTAGGTTTTTACAGTTAGTACATATCGACAGGAATAGCAAAAGCCGTAACATTTGCCTAATGCGTAAACTTAAGACACTACGAAGAGAACATTTTATGCCTCTTTGACAAATGCATTATTATTAATATGTAGTTCTGCTTACGTAAAGTAATGAAATAATAAAATGGTATACAATTATTAATTAGTAAACTGAGAGTGGTGTACACACTACTGGTGGAATGAAAGTGGAAAAGGTACAAAAGTGTGTAAAAAATTGAAAATTTTTATTAAAAAATTCGGCTAAGCCCCATCAGCTTAATAAAGCCATCTTCTGAGCCGTCTTTAAAGACATTACTAATTAAAATTTTTTAATATTAAAGCATGACAAACGACTAACGTCATTGATACTTTTCGCATGGAGTTAATCCAATAAAACATAGAATTAATAACACTACATAATATAAATGAATATTTAGTTGCAATAAAGGCAACAAACCCCAATGGTAAAGTAAAAAGTAAAACATTAATAACAATTGTAAAAATTAGTAAAACTAATACATGTTTCGAGTACAACATATATATGTCAAGCGTACCTAAATGTGACAATTAACATCATACAAATTACATAGACAAACTCACACAAAACCATATAACAAGCAGCAGGAGCGTACGAGTGGTTCTGGAGTCAACTTGCGTTAGACCAGACTTATGTTTAAAAAAACTACAAAATATATAATAATGAGATAGGGGAGAGGGATATACTAGGATTCTAAGGATATCAACCATACAGAGGTCCTAAAAGATCTAAGTATATTTGGTTTTGGGAAACTATTAAACATCAGAATTTGGAGAGTAGAATGAAGTGCAAAGACTCTAGATGCATACTAGGCCAAACAAGTGTCTGATAACATTTCGATGTCAGACCACCGCTGGTTAACATTCAAAATAAACTTGATGTTGCCGACCTCCACGCTTTCTTGAAACACTAGGAAAACGGACAGGGCAATCTGTGCCCATCTTCTCAAAACGGCTATGAGAGAGATGAAGGCCGAAACACCAAACAATTACAATGCTTTGGAGAAGTACTCGAACACTATCCAAAGCACAATAAACAATACCTATAAGAAATCCTGTCCCCTAAAGCTGGTCCAACACGATCAGACGACTACCGCATGGTGGTGTCACGGGTTGGATCACGTTAGGAACATGGCTAGGAGATCCTTTAATAAGGCAGGAACCACAAAACTCAAAAAGGACTGGGATATTTACCAAGCTCACTTCAGAGAATACAAAAAAATCGTCAGACAAAAACAGAAAGATGCATGAAGATCCTACTGCGAAGAAATTGAAGATTTCCCGCAGGCAGCGACGCTTCAAAAAGCTCTCTCAGAAGATCCACAACAAAGAATTGATGCGCTAATCAAAGAGAATGGCACGAAAACTGCCAACCTCAAAGATAACATCATACTTCTGCTTTCAACACACTTCCCTCACAGACGTGGCCGACTGGGCAGAAGAACAGTACAATCCATCTGTCTATGATTGGAAAACTGCCAAACACATTGTAGACGATGAAAAAATTAGATGGGCATTATCCATCTTCTCTCCATTTAAATCGCCAGAACCTGACGGTATCTATCCAGCCCTACTTCAGTGGGGTCTGGAAGAACTCACAATGTACCTGGTGGGGATATTCAGATCCTAGTTGGCTCTGAAGTATATCCCCAAAAAATGGATAGAGGTAAAAGAGGTATTAATACTTAAGCCTGGAAGGATAGATTACACTGTCCCAAAAACATACCGACCAAGTAGTCTGACATCGTTTTTTATGAAGACATTGGGAAGGCTATGTGAAAGGTACCTAAGGAATGCGGTGATAACAACAACACCAGTACACCCAAACCAACATGCATGATCTTCTGATTCAGCCCATCATCTAGTTGCTAGCCGGATAGACATGGAAGATGCTTTTGATAAAACCATCTTCCCAAAGATAATGCACTCACTAACCAACAGAAATGTTCCACACATGATTGGTGGATGGATACGTAACAGCAGGAAACATATGTGTAGAAGATGTGAATATAAGAGGCTTGGTTGAGAAGGGATATCCACAGGGTGCTATCGCCTCTACTGTGGAATATGATCCTCAACACCCTCGTCAGCCACCTCAATAATGACAGTCCGTACACAATAGCATATGCACATGACCTGGTCATTCTGCAAACAGGGAATTTTGAGAACATACTTTGCGAAAGAATGTAAGTTGTTCTAAAAATTAAAGAACAGTGGTGCAAGAACCATTGAATGTCTATAATAATAATAATAATAATAATAATACTCTCCCTAATTCACCCCCTTACGAGTGAATTTTAACACCAAAAGCTAAGCTGAGTGCGAAGCGACTTGTAGATGATTCATGGTGCCATTTAAATTACAGGTGAGGAAAATCTCACCCATCACCATCGAGACGGTAATGCATGGCGATTTTGTAATCTGCATGTCATATCAACAGAAATTGAATTTCTATTAATACGGCACACATCAAATCCTATACCGAACCACGCAATTTAATTAAAAATATGCATGGTCTGGCCTGGGATCTGAAGCCCGACTGTCTCTGACCATAAACTTGCCTATAAATGAATATAAGCGCGTTAGACTGCTACACCACCGACCCAAATAATCACCGACTTAAATAATTAATCAATCCTAAGAAGACAGCAATGGTCCTTTTTACAAGGAAAACAATAAAAGTGGAATTAAAACCTCCAGAACTCCTAAACACAAAACTAAACTTTGCAACAGAGGTGAAGTACCTAGGTCTTACCATTGACAGCAAGTTACCATGGAACACGCATTTAGAAAACAGAGTTCAAAGAGCATACATTGCTTAAGAACAATGCCGCCGGATCGTGGGGAGTACCTGGGGTTTCTCCCTCAAAATGGTCGCATGGACTTACACGGCTATCATAAGACCTATGCTAACATACGGTGCAGTTGTCTAGGTACCGAAAACCCAAAAATTAACAGCTATCCGCAAACTAGAACAAATTCAAAGAACAGCATGTCTCAACATAACAGAAGCCATGAGAACAACAACGACCAAAGCCATGGAAGTCATTCTTGGTCTCGCTTCTCTTGATATTTACATCAAGAAGGTTGCTATAACGACAATGACACACTTTTGGCAGGAGGCGCTCGATACGATCCCACTGCGTTAAGCGAACATGGACTCCATCTCACCGAGATATATCTTCCATAAGCCATGTGCGAACAAGGTGCGAACTATGAAGACTAGAGATAAAGAGGCGCATCGACATACTCAAAATACGGTCCCAAAAAACGTACGCTTATTGAGCTTTTATAATTAACTGCAAAAGCACTGCTACTGCTTACGGTGTTCAAAATACAAGGCTTCTAATGGGAATTATACATAATTTTGTCAAAATAATAAAAAATAAACTTGTTTATAGTTAAATAAAGCACAGAACATACTTTTGTATTTATTCCTATTTAAGTCTTGCATGTTTTAATTGATAAATCATTTAATTTTATCTATATAAAATAAAAATTAGGTAGGAACTATCAAATTCGAAAAGGTTTGTTAAATGCTGAAATTTGATAAGTACAATTTTGTTACAAATTTTTTTGAATTGTACCTATATATAGTTTTAAGCGCAGAATAAAACACAGTTAACAGATTTTTTATTGTTGTAATACAAGTATAAAGGGAGATTTGGGAATGTACATGGTATTACCTCATCCTTTAATTTCAGCTTTCCCCGTTTTATTTTGTAAAAATAGTCTCATAATATTTGATATTATCTTCTAAAAAGTATAGAACAGCATCATCTCTAGAAAGTACTTTATCGGCACTAGGAACGATATATATGCTGCCACTGTTCTAAGCGTTTAGTATCCTATATACAACATTTACAATGACATAATTGGGGTTCAACAAAAAAATAACAGTAGCAACCCTTTATCTAACATTAAAACTCTATAAAAAATGAATGTTCTTTTCTAGTAAGTTAAATTTAATGTATAATTATAATTATTGTTGTTTGTAAAGGATTTATGACTGTAAAATTTTATATTATAGTAACTTGTAATAAAATAAACTACACTCCGTAAGATACATATTGTGACTAGTTTACAATAAATATTATATTTAGACAAATAAATTATTTAATTTATATTAGAAGCTTTAAAAAGACATTGAATTGATATCTCCTTGTGTTTTCTTTAGTCTTACATCTGATTCGTGTCCTGTTTTACAATCTGGAATGACGTAAATCTTGCTTTGATGTTTTTTTGTCACTCATGTTACTTGTACTCAGGTACTTTTTCACATTATTTTGATTCTTTTCACCAATTTTTTAAAAAAATCACTTCATTTTACATTATCTTATATAGAAAATTGACACCACTGTTATTCGACATGCCAACTACAGTTAATTTAACGAACTTTATAAAAAGAAGAAAGGAAATTTAAAATTTGACCATTGCCGATTCGCCTCCTACTCTCTACTCTTTATAGTGCGAACTCAACACTCAAATAATTGAATAGAGAGAGACAATACATAAGAATCGCATTCTATGGAACCAAGATAGACATCTCAACACGTGCCCAATGCTGGTCTACGTTGTACTAGAAATAGAAACATGTATTATTTTTACTAATTTTTACAATTGATATTAATGTTTTACTTTTAACTGTTCCATTGGGGTTTGGTGCCTCTACCGCCCCTAAATGTTCATCTAAAATATTTGTTATTAACAATTCTTTGTTTTATCCGATTGACTCCATGTGGAACGTATCAATTAGGTAAGCCGTTTGTCATGCTTTAATATTAAGAAATTTTAATTTGTAACGTCTTTTAGGACGATTTTGAAGATGGCTTTATTGAGCTGAATGCGCTTAGTCGAATTTTTT